GTCTAGCCTGTTCTCTGGTAATTTTAAATTGGCGTCATAAAGCTTGAGTTTTGATGGAATCGTGTATGAGAAGCGTAAGCACTCTCGTAAGGTGATATTACTAAATATACTTGACGAGTCAATTGATCTGCATAAGCATTGCCAATACTTATAGCCCCTGGTAGAAGGGTGTGGGCTCTAACATGACCAATAAAGGTAGGCAACTTTCTGGTCTGTAATAACTGTTGAATGTCAAGAAACAAGTCAATTACATATGATGAGTCTCCAGGATGGAGGACTGCAGTTTTGAGACGGTGTAGACAAGCAACCACATATTGACTATCAGAATATAAGTTAAAGCTAGTATCAGCCAGGCAGGTATAGACAGCTTGAACAGCTCGGAGCTCAGCCCATTGAGCAGAATGAGTATCTGTCTGAAATACAAAGGGTTGTCCATCAATTACATAGGAAGCTTGGCCATTATTGGAACCATCAGTGAAAACCAAAGGTACATTAAGAATAGGCTCTGAAACAACTATTTTTGGAAAGATGTTGGGATGACTTCTCCAAAAATCTAATAATTTATGAGATGGATAATGATGTCCAATTTGGCCATGAAAGTTGGCCAGAGCTAAAGGCCAATCGTCAGTGGACTGTAGTAACCAGGCTAATTGATCAGCAGTATATGGGATAACAATTGTGTAAGGCTCTATGCCAAATAATTGACGAGCATGGGCTCTGCTTTGAATTATGAGTTTAGCTATAGTCTCAAAATAGATAAAAATTACCCGTTTTCGGGATGTTGGGAGGTGGATCCACTCAAGGGGGCCATCCTGCCAAAAAAGGCCTGTCAGTAAAAATGGAGTGGATAAGATTAGATATGACCAGGGTTTTTCATAATTGATTCTGATAAGGAATTGTTGATCAATTAAGTCCTCAATGTAGCCTAATGAAAGTTGCTCCTGAACCAACTCATTGGCAGCTTGTATTTTTTCCCTAGTAAGAGGCCATTGCTTGATCCTGACAGGATCATCTGACAACCAAGTAATCGGGTCAGCTGTCTTGGATTCAGGAGCGGCAATGACCTCTCCTAAAAATTTGCTGTAGTGAACATTAATACCTTCATTTATGTTAAGATATCTCTTTCCCATAAATTAGCAGGTAACCCTGGCAATATATATGGCTGAAATGAGCTCTTATGCCCTTCATCATCTTGCCAGGGGAGAAGAGCTGAACTTCTTAATGGATTAGCTGATTGCCCAATTCCTTGGAGCTGAGTAATAGCAGCAATAAGAGGCCACTTATGCGGCCAATGCTCTTGACTAATAACTGAGACATCAGCTCCAGAATCTAGAATACCTTTAAACCTTTTCCCCTGAATTGTTAATACTCACTCAGGGCGAGTCTGAGAGATTGTTTCTACCCAGTAAGCTGCATCGGAAGAACCAAATCCTTGTTCTCCTTGGGCCCTCTGCAATGCCCTCCCAGAGGCCACCTTTGGTAATAGAATAAGTTGAGCTATCCTGTCACCTGATGTTATAGTGACAATCTTTTTTATGGAGGAAACCATTATTTTTGTTTCCCCTTGATAATCATTATCAATTACTCCAGGCAGCACACTAAGCCCTTTCATTGTCCATGAGCTGCGCCCCAGCAATATCCCCATGGTTCCAACTGGAAAAGGTCCATAAACTTTAGTAGGAATTGCCTGGGGATCCAGCTCCGGAGTGATAACAAAATGTTTAGAGGAAGCTAGATCCAGTCCTGCACTTCCAGGGGAAGCCCGGATGAGGTCCTGGACCCATCTCCCTCCCTTTTGGAGTTGTTGAGTGGGGGCATCTGTAATGGCTGGCCGGGGGGAAATACAGACATCGCCCCTATTGTTTGCTGGGCCGGGGCTTGGCCCCTCTTGTCGTTTCCCTGTTGAGTAAAAGAGTTACTATTCTTGTCTGTGTTGAAACAGCATTTGTTGGCCCAATGTTTTCCTCTTTTGCAACAAGGACAAAGACCTGGTTGAGCTTCTTTGCCTTGCCCCTGATTGTTATTTCCTTGTAATGGGGGACACTGTTTTTTCATATGTTCCTTTCCTCCACAGGAGAAACAAGTCAAATTAATATTTCCTCCTGCTGCTTTCCCTTGCCATTGCTGCTGAATTATCCCTTCTATGGAGGTTCCTTTCAGAGCAGCAGCAAAAGCTACTCCCTGTAAATAGGATGGCCCTACATCCGCACAAAGTCGAATGTAATCAGATAAGTCTCCCTTTTTGTAGAAAGGTCTCAAAATAGTCTGACAGGCAGTATTAGCATTTTCAAAAGCTAGCTGCTTGACTAGAAGCATGCCTGCCTCTTTATCAACCACTAAACGCCCGACTGCCTGCAGCAGCCGTGACACAAAATCTTGATACCTTTCATCAGGCCCCTGAATAATCTTAGAAAGCTCTTCTGTTCGGTAAGAACTAGAGGGTTGCTTTTTCCATGCTCATAATGCAATTCCATTTATCTGAGGATAGGCTTCATAAGGAAACCTACATTGAATTTCAGTCTCAGTATATATTCCTTCACCCCTTAACATATCCCAGGAAATATTGACATTATTATCCCTGTTTCTCCTAGCCTGATCTTTAGATTGCTCTTCAAATTCAGATTTCCACAATAGGTAATCTCTTACTGACAAGCAGGCCTTAGCGATCATCCTCCAATCATTTGGAGGAATAGCCTCCAACGCTATCTGATCAAGCATTGCAATGGTAAATGGAGCAGTACTACCATATTGAGCACAAGCAGTCTTTAACTCCTTCAAGGTCTTAAAAGGCAAAGGAGCATACCCTCAAACCATCTGGCCGGGGTTCTGTGGATCGGGTCTCTCTGTGACTGGGTAGGCTTGTAGCCCAAACCCAATGTCTTCCCCTGCCATGTGAGCCTCTTTAAGGGCAAGCTGTAAGGGACTAAGAATTTTTTCAGGTTCATAAGGTGGTGCAGATGGCGGTGGCCGTTCGATCTTTTTTGGTTTCACTTTTAACTTGGCAAGCAAGGCTTGCAATTTCTCAATAGCATTATTGGTCGCTGACACTGAATAATTATCATGCTCTCGTT